TGGACATTTTTACGTTAAAGCAACATGTTTTAACAACAGACTAGGTAAGCACAGCAAACAATCTTACCTGAGGCATACGGCCAATTTTTCCTCACTCCTCATCGGTTTTTGAGCGTTGCATTCTCTCCCTGTAATGTCGCTTTTTATTAATTTATGCACTTCGTCAAACTGCATTCTGTTGAGGCGGAAACAACCACTAAAAACGTTGTCTGGAACTTCCTCAGTTAACAAAAACTCCCCTCGAGTACTTCGTGCACCTAATTAAGCACTTCTTTTTCTTTTTTCCCTTTTTCTAGATAACGAATACAATAAAACTAGGTCCTCAGTTTCTGACTCAGAGTCTAAATCTATGAGGATTTGATCAAGGGATGCCATGATGTTAGGTGCTGACGTGGATCAGTACTGGGTTCAATATGCGGTACCTCGATCCAGCCCATGGACGTGGGATCCATGGGCTAGGCGTGTGCTCGGCGTGGGCTGGGCCTGTGCTGGGTTCAATTTGCGGCGGGCCTTTCAGTTGGGGTAACAACCAGCTTTCCAACATGTCCAAAAATGACTCGCCAGTCAGTCACAGTCACAGTCTGTGCATGTGGTCGCTCGGTTCCCAGATACGGACATTGTGTCTGTTCATCTTGCCACTGATGTGGAATGTGGTTTCATCGGAGATTAGTCTTTCTACCAACCCATCTTCCTCCTTTTTCAATTTCGTCTCCTCGCAACAGTCACGCCTTTTCACTTTGTATGCTGGTTTAAGGGCCTGAACCAATGGAATCTTGTACGGTTTAAAACATAGCCGCTTACGCAGCACCTTCCACACCATCATTCCCTGCTTCCTCTACCCACTGACTTGTGGGGACTCGCTGAAACGCCTGACGCACTCTTTCAGTGTTGTCATCAGACACACGAGGTCGACCAGGATTCTTGCCTTTACACAAGCATCCAGTTTCTACAAACAGTCCGTACCACCTGCTGATGTATTCTTGTGTGGTGCATCTTTTTGAAACCGTGCACGAAACACACGCTGCACTGTAATCACAGATCTGGACACCTCAAAACAGAGCTTATCCTGCTTCAACACCAGCTTTGAAACTGGCTACGCGGCCACACAGTCAGCATGAAAATCGAACTGCTGGTGGCGCATGAGAAACTTGGACAGTTGCTGCCGCTGACGGTGCATGTTGTGCCCGTGTGAAGTGAGAAATAAATTTCTATTATCTACTAAAATTGTACCATTCTATTGTGTATACCCTGTACGTCGGCATATACTCCATATTAAGGCTAACGTCACACGAGAGCTGAAAACAGCGGACGCTGCTCTTCCGTCGAAATCCGCGGACGTGAAGCAGATTGCCTATCAAGCGCTATATTCCACGTAATGCCAAGTCAGTCTTTGGCGAGGTTTCATGCTGCGAACATGGATTTTATTGACATTAGCCTGTAATACTCTGTAACAAATGGAGAATATTTCACCGAGCATTGGAGACGAGTGTTGATTTTACAGATGACATTGATAAAGGCTGCTGTGTATTGCATAACTTCGTTCGTGATCGCTATGGATTTCAGTTGGAAGATACTTTGAATGTTGTAGGATTTGAAGACACTGAATTGGAAATGGACACTGTTGGAAGTCGAGCAAATGTGCAGAGAATTCGAGATACCTTAGCTGATTATTTCGTTAGCACTATTGGGCAAGTACCTTGGCAGTACACAGCGATAGGAAAGAAAAA